AATCCAGGATTTTGGAAACCAACCACAGAGAACCAGAATGGAAGAAAGCATGGTCAAACCATACAAACACAAGAAGAAAAGACACTTAAAGGGTGACCAAGCGGCAGGAAGACCCAGACATGGAGGACGGAACCTCAACAGGAGAACCAACCCCAACACACACACACAACACCCACCAAGCTGCAAACTCCACAATTGCTCCGGAATAAACCACCAAGTCAAATCGAATTTGGGGGGCAAAGCCCAAACAAAGTTTGGGTTTGAGCACAAACCTCACTCAAGGAAAAGATCTTGGGATTACACACCGAGACAAAATCTCCTGAAGCGTCACACAACCAATAACTCGCAGCAGGCCCAGCAAACCTCGAACCCAACCCACATTCTTATGAAATGTTGATGTAAGTATCGAGGCCCAATTGAGTTAAGGATAACAAGGGAAAAACGGACCAGAGACATGGCCAGTAACAAGGGACAGTTTTAATAAAAACATAATAACAGGCATGTAGGAAAAATTTTCCCGCACAGAGTAGCTAAGAAAAGCTTGGGCAGTAGGAAGCAGGGTCCAAAGCATAAAGAGGACGATAAGCAGGTCAGGGGGATTGACCCTTTAAACAGAAGGGGGGAGGAATCGGAAGCCCCGACCTAACTATGGAGACAACAGGGGGACACACACACAACCCCAACAGATAATTAAAAATATATAATATATTATGTAATATATTAAAAATAAAAAAAAATTTTATAAATAAAAAAATAATAAATAAATTTATAAATTAAAAATTTAAAAAAATTTTTAAAAAAATTTAAGTAGGTAGATGGCGAGCAACCACAGGAATCTACGACCAGACTGGAAAAAAAAGGAGGTTTTCAGATGGTGGGTGCTGGTCTTACCTCATAAACGCAAAAACAGAAACACAATACGCTAAAGGTATACTCACAGACACGACTGCCCTATATTAAATACAATTAACCTCTTCTAAAGTCTTCTTTTTTAAATTTTTTGTCTGGGGAAGTGGAAAAAACTATTCGTAAGCCCAAAGTTGTAGAGGAAATAAAATGGGAGGAGGGCATAACCCTTTTCCCAAACATTAAATAAAGGAAGAGGGAAAACTTCCCAAAAATGGGAGATTATAAAGTGCGTGGAAATCGATGACCAGAAACGATGGGTGCTGATTTTTGAAAAGAAAGAGGGTTTCCCAAGGAAAAAAATAAGGGTAGAAAGGAGGGGAAATAAATGGTTAATCAAATATGAGGAGTTAGAAAAGAAGGGAACAGAAAGGAAGTCAGTAGGAAGAGAAAGAGAAAGAATTGTGAAATCCAAGAAAGTGATTACAGTAAGGGGATGCAAAGTGTCAAATATTTTGCATGAAAGAAATTCAGAGGAGAGAGATGTGGAATTTTGGAATGAGAAGGCCTTTGAACCAAAAGAGGAAAAGTGGTAGGGGGGCCTTTAAGCAAAGTGGGAAACTTAAGGAAGTTGATGTAGTAAATTTTCAGGTGAAAAAACGGAGTTTGGATGAACTTTGTACAGAAGGGGTTTAAGGTTGGTCATTTTGAAAGGGATAAAGAATACACCAAGATGTAGGGCGAAATACAAGTGTGGTTAGATGGTAATAAAAAACTGTAAATAGACTTCAGGATACAGCTTAAGAGGGGCCGGGATAACGACATTCTATTTGAATCACCTGAATCAAGTAGAGAAAGGGAAAGAGATAAAAAGGGGGTGGCAGGTTTAAACTAAAAACAGTAGGAGAAACGTTGGAGATAATGGTTTTGAGAGCATCGCAATGTGAAAAGGGTGGAGTTTAAAAGAGGAAGGCACAAATTGTGGTTTAAGAATGGGGGGAAAAGGATTGGGAAAGATGTAAAGAAAAAGTGGAGAAAAGACATAAGAAAGTTTTTAAAAAGAAGGCAAGGAGGAGTTATGGAAAAAAGAAATTAAAAGGTGAGCATTTAAAAAAGAGAAAAGAAATGGTAAGATGATAACAATTTTTTGGGAAAAAAAGAAAAGTTTTATGAGTTAAATTAAGAAAGCCCAAGAAAAATGTTGTAGTTAAAAAAGAGGGGTTATTAAGGAGAGTTAAGAAGGGAGAAAATATTAGGAATGTAAATGTTGATAAGAGGGGAACTTAATTCCGATAGGGAAGGGGAACACCATTTGGAGAGAGGAAGGCCATTGTATGGGGGAGTGTGAGGCAAGGTAAGAGGGGTAGGCAGGATAGGAAAGATAGAAAAAAAGAAAGGGGGGACTAAAGTTTATGGGTTTGCAAATTAATAAATGGAAGGAAGGGACTGGGTGAGGGCAGCAATTCTTTGATAAACAGGGATAAAAATCAAAAATTAAAGGGGAAAACTGTGAGGACCGGTAAGGGGTATTGAAATTTATTAAAAATTAAAGTAAACGAGAATAGGAAACCAAGACAAGGATGCGGAAAGAGGGTGGACCAGGTTTTAGTGAAACATATTCAGGAAAATTTGATAAGGCTAAAACGGGCAATGTTGGGAAGGCAACATATAGGGGAAACTGTGGCAAATGTGCAGGTTTGGGGAGGGAAAATTCTGAAACATAAGGATTTTACAAAGGAGGCAAGTAAGATGTAAGGAAGAGGAAATTTTTCCCAGTAAAGAGGCCTTAGAAATTGATACCGGGTTTTAAAAATTTAAAAGGTTAAGGAGTAATTTCGAGGGTTTCAAGAGCCCGTTAAAAGAAAGAATCCAAAAATGGGATGTCAAGGTTTTTGAGACACGTGCTTGGGGAATTCTGAAGGGTTGGGGATGGGGAAATTTGGAGGTTAAAAGAGGAAAACAAAGGTGAAACAGAAAGAGAAGGTTATAGGTCAAAAAGATAAGGGAAAAAGTTGAACAACAGATTAGGAAGAGTAGGAGGAAACTTTCAGAAATGGAATGGAGGTAACCAGGGTTTTGAACATGAGGTAACATGAATTGAAGGGAAAAAGTGAGGGGCATAAGTCTGGGAGGCAAGAACTTGCCTGAAGCAAGGGATTAGAGAGGTATGATTTAACACGCCTAATGGGGGAAAGAGGGAAGCAGCAAGAAAAGGGGGGCGTGAGAGTCCAGCGAGCAAGTTGTGTGAAAATCAAAATGAGTGGAATAGGAGGGGGTGCGGATTACCAAAACTGTTTTCCAGACTAGAAGGGAGGGGGCGGCTGTAAAATAGAGCAAACCAACCCCCTAAATTACTTGAAGGAAAGGAAAGCGGGGTAGGGCCCAAAAAGGGGTAAAATGGGAAAATTTGTTGGGGGGGTTGCCCAGGGGAAGTGAGCGTGATAAGTAAAACAAGGTTTAACTGACTGCATTGAAAAGCAAAGATTATGAGGATCAGGGAAACCGGCAGGCGACTTTACCCCCGAGATGGGAAGTACAGTGCTCACTTGAAAGGGGAGGTCTATGTGTAAAACATGTAAACACTTTGGAAGAAGGATGGGGAATTGGTGAAAGGTTTTCTTTTGGGCCACCCGTTCGTGGAACGGGCCGTGGATAAAAAAAAATAAAAAAATTTAAGTGAACCTGTAAAGGGAAGAGCTTAAATAGAAGAAAAGGTAGAGGAGAAAGTAGCCGAAGACAAAAGGCTTTAGAAGTTAGGGGTGTTTGCAGTTTTAGGGAAACATATAAAAACTCAGTTTTGTAGCAAAGATTTTTTGTGGATTTTATTTGAAAACCAGTGAGGGAAGTGGACTAAGAGGAATTTAGGATGGTAGGCCAAATATTTAAAAAAAAAATTTTCCCCCAAAAAAGGGGGGGAAGGGCGTTTTAAAAGTCGGTAAAGCCCTCGGCAAGAAGAGGACTGAATGATGGAAAACTTTGCCACCTGAGCGAGGATCGCCAATGGAAAAATATAAAAAATTTTATAAAAATTTAAAATTAAAAATTTTAAAAATTAATATATTATATTGTGGGGTTTTGGAAAAAAAATCACTTTAAAAGAAAAACAAGTTTGAACGGATTACCAAAAAGGTCCCAGAACCAGAAGGGTTTCAACCATTAAAATGGCAGGGGCCATCACGAGGGCGATAAACCCTTCACAAGTGAAAACCAAATGTTACTAGTTCTGGGGCCCAACAAAAAAACCGCGGATCAAGCAATGGCCGTTTTTGTGCTGCAGAAGAACACGGGTTTGGGGACTAGAGTGGGGCAAAAGCAACTTGCTAAAACAAAGTTATCAAAAATTTACGAAAAAGAGGGTGCAAAATACAAGAATGGGTTGGCAAAATATCGGGATTGGACAAACAGGAGATACTAGGTCAAAACTTTATAATAGGATAAAATGTGGCGACACTGGGGGTATTGGGCCTAATAATGGGACTGGGATAAAATATATAAGGGTCCGAAATAGGGCTTCAGTACAAAACAATATAAAGAGATCTGGTACGTGGAAACATGGGGCTGGATAAACAAGGATAAATACACAACCGGTACCTGATGAATAGTATAAGCAAACCCGGGTTTTTGGGGTTAAATAAAATGTCTTGTGGCCGACATACGGGGAGTGGAAGAATACTACGAGTCTAATAGAGTAGGGACATATCCGTGGGGGGTCAAAACGGACTGGAGTCTTAATCCCTTGACCAGTAAATAAAGGATGTTTTGATTTGAATTTTAAAGGTACGAAAGAAAACCGGGAAAAAGAGGGGGAAGAGGGAAAAAAAAACCCCCAAAATACGGAAACGGGGGGAAGCGAAGGTCTTGTTAACCGGAAACCAACAGAGAGGATGGATCAGAGGTTTTGGGACAATCCGGAATGGGTCCTACATTTTTTTTAAACCCGTTGGTTTTATGCATTTGGATTTAAAAAATGGAGGAAAAAATAACCCAAAGGTGATTTTTAGTTGGAGGGTAAAGAAACTCTTGGCAAATTTTCCCAAATTTTTAAAGGTTTTCAAAAAAACCCAGGGGCCCGGGTTTTTAAAAAACCCAAAAATTTTTTAAAGAAAAGGGGGTGCCCGAAACCCAAAAGGGGTTAAGCGGGGCCCAGGCCTCCAGTCTCTGGGGCGCAACCACAACCACTAGCGTCCTGGCATCAGCAGTGTTGTGGCTCTTGTTGTCTTCTTAGTGCTGCAGTAACGAACAGCGGGGTCCTGGGGGTCACTAAGAGTGGGGTGCTAGAGTCTTGAACAGTGGGGTGCTAGAAACACGAACAGTGGTATGCTAGATTCACGAACAATGAGGTGCTAAAGTTACGAAGAATTGGGTGCTTGGGTCACCAATATCGGGGTACTAGCGTCACAAACAGGAGAATACTAGGGTCATGAACATCGAGGTAATAGGATCACGAATCCTGGGGTCGTGAACACTGGGGTATTGGGCCACTAATAATGGGGTACTGAGATCATAAATGATGAGGTATTAGGGTCACGAACATCAGGGCACTTTGCTCACGTACATTGGGTACTAATATCAAAGAGAGTCTGGTACTGGTGTCACAAACAATGGAGTCCTGGAGTTACGAACAATGGAGTAATGAGGTCACGAACATCGGGGTACCTTGATCGCGAACAGTAGTTTACTAAGGTCATTAACACTGGGGTATTGGGGTCACGAATAAATATGTACTTGGGTCACGAACAGTAGGGTACTGGGGACACGAATACCGAGGTACTGGAGTCATGAATACCGAGGTACGGGAGTCAAGAATACGAGGTACGGGTCATGAAACCGAGACTGGAGTCATGAATACCAGTACTGGAGTATGAATACCGAGTATGGAGTCAGAATACCGAGGTATGGGAGTCATGAATACCGAGGTACTGGAGTCATGAATACCGAGGTACTGGAGTCATGAATACCGAGGTACGGGAGTCATGAATACCGAGGTACTGGAGTCATGAATACCGAGGTACTGGAGTCATGAATACCGAGGTACTGGAGTCATCAATACCGAAGTACTGGAGTCATCAATACCGAGGTACTGGAGTCATCAATACCGAGGTACTGGAGTCATGAATACCGAGGTACTGGAGTCATGAATACCGAGGTACTGGAGTCATGAATACCGAGGTACTGGAGTCATGAATACCGAGGTACGGGAGTCATGAATACCGAGGTACTGGAGGCATGAATACCGAGGTACGGGAGTCATGAATACCGGGGTACTGGAGTCATGAATACCGAGGTACTGGAGTCATCAATACCGAAGTACTGGAGTCATCAATAACAAGCCATAATAACCTTCACCTGTCACTTTAGCCCAGCTCACCGCTCTCATCAATACCTTTGACTAGTTTTTTTCTTAAGCTTCAGTCGCTCAGGTGCCTCACTCTATACGTCACCTTGGGTGAAATATCTAATTAAAATGTTTTCCCTACTAACAGTTTCTTCATTTCTACCTCTTGGTTTGTGCCGTTGTTCATCTAGAGTATTACGTGCCATCACTAATAGTCAGACTGAACAAGGCAAAGTACCCCACAGGCGGCCTGTACACTGACTGAAATAAATATCATGTTAGACTATGATGACGTTAACTTTACAAAGTTCAGTCAGTCCAAGAGAAAAAATTACTTAAAATATATTATATAAATATATTTAGTTAAGCTAAGGCAAGTGAGTAAATATAGTTTAATGAAGGCTGCCTGGAATATTAAGGCATTTCTTAAGTTTGGCTTTTCAGGTTATTGTAGAAATGTAACCAGAATATCCTGACTGTAAAATGTTCGAGGTATCGACAGTGTATAGGAGAGTCAGCCAGCACTATACGCAGAGAACACTATCAACACTCTACGGGTGATAGTCTAACTCTAATGAATTTGGAATTTACTGGAAGAGATTGAAGTAAGTCATTTTCGTTGGTCACTGGCAAAATCGCCTCTCTTGTCAGGTGTCTGAGACATTATGAAAGGAACAAAAAGAATTCACTAAGATAGAGGTCAAGTGAGCGCAAAGGTGGTGGGAACGATGCAAGTCTCACCATCTGAGTACATTGATCACTGTTGCGTTTGAGCTAAAGAGACAACCAGCACCCAGTTATCTTATGTTGCATGGTCACATAGCTATGATGCATAGCTGTATATCAACATAACAGCAACTAAGCTGAACATGACATCACACACATATGCCACAAGCCCACAACACTGCCATTCATTTCTGCGGTAATGACATGGTAATTTAGGTAGCAGAGTGGAGATCTTTTTCCTGAGAGTTAAATATTTGTGTTGAAGATGTGAGAGGAATCAAAAGGTACATTAACAAGTCATCATTTATAAATAACTAAATTGCTTCAATAAAAATGGTTAAATACAACACTCATAGACCAAATCTAATTAAAATCTTTCCAAGGGATCAAGGAGGTTAATATCCTAAAATACACAAGCACATCATGCTTGAAGCCGCTCAGATGCTAATCTATCAAGTGATTACCTTGGAAATGTTGAAGCTAATCAAATGCAACACTAAAAACAAGCAGATTGGAACTTACACAGGTCAAATTTAATCCAGACTGCTCTCTAAAAATGACCAGCTTTTAAGAAAGTAAGTAAATTATATTTTAACCTTAGAGTATAAATCTTTCTTAGCAATAGTCTTGAGGGATGACAGATGTTATAAGTACACAAAAGAATATTTCAGTTGATTTAATTAAGTATAACAAAATAAAGTTAAACGCTGTGTTTTATTTCTGATCAGAAGATACATTCACCAATTATTTCACAGAAACTAATTGATTACTAAAATTAGCACATGAGAGCTTACACAACCTAACATCACATCATTAAAAGTTTGTAGCTGACCAGAAGATGAATTTTCCAGTTATTGCACAGAATTTAACAAAAAATGTGCCTATACAGGCGACACTCTTGATAAGTTCCATTTCACGTGATAAATTAGCATTGGAGATTGATGTTATTCACAACAGTTATATGTTAATCAGATGAAAATACTCAACCTGTGGGGGTTACACCTGTGGAATGAGAGGCATTCAAATTCAACCCAAGCTACGGAAAGACAATTCCAGTTCCTTGGATCGAGAGCAGCCCCCACCGGCATCAAGTCACTGTAATGCAAACGAAAAATAATACTGCACCATTTCCAGATTAAAATCGGCAAAATGACAGCAGTACAAGGAGGATACGCGACTGTTGAAATCTGAGGAGGCTGTCTCTACCTGTCACTTGAAAATAAACTTCCCTGAAATTAGAGTCATCGTTAAATTTAAAAAACTATAAAATCTCGAATTTATATTGTTTTGCGGTATTCTTTTTTTAATCTGTAATATATTTAAAATTTTCTGCAATCCTCTAAGAAAAATATTTGATATTGCTTATTTATTTTTTTAAATTTGGCAAAAAAATTAATTAGCATATAAAGAGCCCAAAATTAATAATAACAAAGAGTTGTTGTCTTATGGGCGAAATAAAATAGAAAAGTTGGAGGATTTAAAAAAAATCAGGAAACCTCTTAAAGGTGCCCGTTCTTGATGCTAATACAGTAGAGAATCCTTTATCCGAAATTCCAAATCCGAAAAACTCCAAAATCCTAATTATTATTATTATTATTATAATCAAGGGGAAGCGCTAAACTCGTAGGACTATACAGCGCCTGGGGGGGGGATGTGGAAGGCATTCAGGTTTAATTCGAGGAACTGGAGCACAGATCCAATTATTTAAATCAAGAGCCCGTCAACAAGATCAAGGAACCTTCCCTGAGGGGCCAAAACCCTAAACTTTTTCAGGTTGACGTGACGAGCCACAAATGGATCATTCAACACAACATATGCTGGAGCAGCAACAATTACTCACTGATTACTGCGTGTTTTGTGATCTGTGGTGTGAAAATATTGTTGAAAATGTCGGAAAGACCTAAGAGTAATAATGAAAAGAAAAAGAGTAAGCATTTCTGTTTATGTATATCACAGAAAGTCAAGTTGTGGGAAAATTCTGAGAGTGATGCAAGTGAGCAGAGGCTGTCTGAGGTGTTTGTTGTAACAACCACTGTCTACCACCTGTCTGAGGTGTTTGTTGTAACAACCACTGTCTACCACCTGTCTGAGGTGTTTGTTGAAACAACCACTGTCTACCACCTGTCTGAGGTGTTTGTTGAAACAAACACTGTCTACCACCTGTCTGAGGTGTTTGTTGTAACAACCACTGTCTACCACCTGTCTGAGGTGTTTGTTGAAACAAACACTGTCTACCACCTGTCTGAGGTGTTTGTTGAAGCAACCACTGTCTACCACCTGTCTGAGGTGTTTGTTGAAACAAACACTGTCTACCACCTGTCTGAGGTGTTTGTTGTAACAACCACTGTCTACCACCTGTCTGAGGTGTTTGTTGTAACAACCACTGTCTACCACCTGTCTGAGGTGTTTGTTGTAACAACCACTGTCTACCACCTGTCTGAGGTGTTTGTTGAAACAACCACTGTCTACCACCTGTCTGAGGTGTTTGTTGTAACAACCACTGTCTACCACCTGTCTGGGGTGAAAACCACTCTGTCTGAGGTGTTTGTTGAAACAACCACTGTCTACCACCTGTCTGAGGTGTTTGTTGTAACAACCACTGTCTACCACCTGTCTGAGACCACCTGTCTGAGGTGTTTGTTGAAACAACCACTGTCTACCACCTGTCTGAGGTGTTTGTTGAAACAACCACTGTCTACCACCTGTCTGAGGTGTTTGTTGTAACAACCACTGTCTACCACCTGTCTGAGGTACCACCTTGTCTGAGGTGTTTGTGTTGTAACAACCGCTGTCTACCACCTGTCTGAGGTGTTTGTTGTAACAACCACTGTCTACCACCTGTCTGAGGTTTTGTTTGTAACAACCACTGTCTACCACCTGTCTGAGGTGTTTGTTGTAACAACCACTGTCTACCACCTGTCTGAGGTGTTTGTTGTAACAATCACTGTCTACCACCTGTCTGAGACCACCTGTCTGAGGTGTTTGTTGAAACAACCACTGTCTACCACCTGTCTGAGACCACCTGTCTGAGGTGTTTGTTGAAACAACCACTGTCTACCACCTGTCTGAGGTGTTTGTTATAACAACCACTGTCTACCACCTGTCTGAGACCACCTGTCTGAGGTGTTTGTTGAAGCAATCACTGTCTACCACCTGTCTGAGGTGTTTGTTGAAGCAATCACTGTCTACCACCTGTTTGAGGTGTTTGTTGAAACAACCACTGTCTACCACCTGTCTGAGACCACCTGTCTTAGGTGTTTGTGTTGAAACAACCACTGTCTACCACCTGTCAGAGGTGTTTGTGTTGTAACAACCACTGTCTACCACCTGTCAGAGGTGTTTGTGTTGTAACAACCGCTGTGTACCACCTGTCTGAGGTGTTTGTGTTGTAACAACCGCTGTGTACCACCTGTCTGAGGTGTTTGTGTTGAAACAACCGCTGTGTACCACCTGTCTGAGGTGTTTGTGTTGTAACAACCGCTGTGTACCACCTGTCTGAGGTGTTTGTTGTAACAACCGCTGTGTACCACCTGTCTGAGGTGTTTGTGTTGAAACAACCGCTGTATACCACCTGTCTGAGGTGTTTGTGTTGAAACATCCGCTTTGTACCACCTGTCTGAGGTGTTTGTGTTGAAACAACCGCTTTGTACCACCTGTCAGAGGTGTTTGTGTAACAACCGCTGTGTACCACCTGTCTGAGGTGTTTGTGTTGAAACAACCGCTGTATACCACCTGTCTGAGGTGTTTGTGTTGAACAACCGCTGTTACCACCTGTCTGAGGTGTTTGTGTTGAACAACCGCTTTGTACCACCTGTCTGAGGTGTTTGTGTTGTAACAACCGCTGTCTACCACCTGTCTGAGGTGTTTGTGTTGAAACAACCGCTGTGTACCACCTGTCTGAGGTGTTTGTGTTGTAACAACCGCTGTGTACCACCTGTCTGAGGTGTTTGTGTTGTAACAACCGCTGTGTACCACCTGTCTGAGGTGTTTGTGTTGTAACAACCGCTGTGTACCACCTCTCTGAGGTGTTTGTGTTGTAACAACCGCTGTCTACCACCTAAAGAAACAAAAGAACAAATTGTTGAAGTTCTATGCTGAAAGTGAAGAACAGAAGTTAATGAAAAACAGAACAACATTGCATGGAGGGAAAATGAAGATGTTCCGTGACCTGGCTGGTAATGTTCTCGCCTCACGTGAACACTAAGTGACGATGGTTCGATGCACTAAACGGGCGGAAATGCTGGGCATGTATGCTTACACCCGCTCTCCATATTCACCTAGCAGTAAGTAGGTACCTGGGTTGTGGAGAAATTTTCTCCAGGGGGGGGTATTAGCCCCCTTCAGCCCCTTTCAGCCCTGAGGGGCCCAGCCGTCTCAGAAGAGGCAAGCATCTTGCTTACTGCTACAGCAATTAATTGA